TATAATATATATTATATATATTAAATATATAATATATATAATTATAATAAATATAATATATATAAATATATATAATATATAATATTTTATAATTATATTATAATATACAATATTATGTGTTTATTATATTATATAATAAATAACTATATAATATAATATTGTAAGATAAAATATTAATATTACTCTTTTATAAATATTTTACTAAATTCTTAACTAAATTAATGAGAACTATATTATGTATTACTTTACTATCTAGTGCTATTTATTTTATCTCTATAAAGTGCTTAAGAATTAGTGTGTAACTAACTTCATAGACTTTATTGTCCAAACTGGTTTGTAAGGTGTTGCAGTGGACAAAATGCTATCGAGATTAACTTTTCGCAATAGTAAGATAAAATTCTTATTAAAATGAATTAAAACTATTACATTGTAAAAAATTAAAAACAATATTAATAATATACCAACTTAATATAATGTTTCTATTATTATAAAATTTATATCTATTATTGCCATTATGTAATACTATATCATTTCTGTTATATTTTGCTTTTAAATTTACAAATTTGATTGTTATGATTATATTTTATATAATATGCTTAAATATAGTAAAAATATGTTGGATAAAAAAAATTGGATTGAAATTAAAAAAAAATTCATATTTGACAAAATAATGAATTTATAAATGATTTTTCTAGTATAGTTAATATTTAGTTTTAAATAATAAATAAAAAATATTTTTTAACTTTTATATTTTTTTATTTTATAATTTATTTTATAGTTCCTTCACAAGTAAAGACTTTAGCTTGTGGAATTCAAACAACTGCAGTAGCATCATCTAATGGACCACGTTTAAAGCGACCCATAGATGCACCTCCAGTTAGATTAGGATTTATTCCAGAAGAATGGTTTAAATTTTTCTATCCTAAAACTGGAGTTACAGGTAAATTGATAATTTATAAAATATTTATTTAATATTTTGGTTTAAGATAATATATAATTTTTTTATTTTTGTATTTAGGTCCATATATATTTTTAACAACTTTTTCAACATATTTATTATCCAAGGAATGGTATATTATGGAACATGAATTTTATAATGGACTTTCTTTGCTTTCAATTATTATATATGTCCAATACAAATTTGGAGCGAAAATTGGAGCATTTATAGATAAAGCAATTGATAAAGAAGAAGAAGAACTTAATAATCAGAAAAATGAAGATATAGAAGAAATTCAGAAACAGATTGATGAGTTAGAAAAAGAAAAGTGGTGTCTTGATGGACAATTAATGCTTTATGATGTAAAGAAGCAAAATATTTGGATGCAATTGGAAGCAAGTTATAGAGAAAATTTGGCAACTATTCATTCACAAGTAAAAAGCTTCTTTTTTTTAAATATTGATTTAAAAGATGAATGGAATTATATTCTTATACAAAATATATTTATATTCGTTACATATATTTATTTAAATTTATGCTTATTTATATATCTTCTTTGTAGGTTAAAAAAATTCTTGATTATCATGCTCAAATAGATATTATAAATCGTAGAATTTCTCAAAAACATATGATGCAGTGGATTATAAATAGTGTATTAGCATCTATCACACCTGAACAAGAAAAAGCTAATCTTCTACAATGTATTAAAGATCTTGAAGGTCTTTCAAAAGCTTGAAGTTTTATGCAGAACAAAATAAAATAAAAATATTATTAGTAATACCTGGGCTAGTATATTTTAAAAAATATGAAAATATTACATAAGAAAAAAACAATGTAATATTTTAAAATTAAATCATTATTTATCAGAGTATTTATAAATATAATATAATATTTCAATGAATAAATATAAAAAAATAATATTAAATTACATGTTAATATCTTTTGTTTCTTTAATAAAAAATCTATATATTAATTAATTATATTATGATAATTATATTTTGATATTTTGATTTAATTCAATTTAATTTTGTTATTATATAAATTAATTTTATAAAACAATTTTATAAAGCATTGTATATTAATTAAATATATATTAATACAAATAGTTAATAATTGTCATATTTTAAATATGGAACATGATTAAAAATTTGAATTTTATATAAAATCATATAGTATAATTTAAACACATATAAGACATAACTATATGTTGAATTATTGATAGTATATTTATATAAATAAAAATAATATATCAAAATTTTTTTTATATCATTTTTTTATTCATGATAATGTATAAATAAATTACATGATTTATTTACAAAAATTTATTAATAATTAATATTTATTAAATCATTATCATATTTCTTAATAATTAAATTTAAGATAAAAGGAAATTTTTAAATAATTTTGATATATATAGATATAGATAGATAGATATATTCTGTTATTTTAGGTTAAGTTATTAGAGATGAGAACATGAATTTTGTGAAGTGTTAAACGTCATCAAAATTATAACAAGGATTTATTTTTATTTTTATATGAAAATGGCATGGTTGTCAGGTCTTGCTGATAAAGCTGAAAATTTATTAAATAAAATAGATAAAAATACCGCTGCAGTTTTAAATAAAGACAAATATGAATTACCACAGTCTCAATTGACACATGTTACATGGATTCCTTCTGAGTCATGGTAAAAAAAATTGATTATTAAATGTCATTAATATTTTATTTTGCTATATTATAAATATTATCTATTATCAATTATACATATTATTTTTTTAAAGAATAGATTAATTTTTTCTTTAATTTAAATATTATTGTTTTTTATCAATCTTTATTTGTATATTAATATATATTAATATTTATTAAATTATTATTAAAGCAGAATAATTAATTTGATATTTCAGTGCTAATAGACAAGATGATATGATTTTGAAATCTACTACAGAATCACCAAAGAATTTTTCTTATGTTCGTTCAACATCAAATCTTTCTTCATTGACAACAAATTCTATTATGTCTAGAGATGAAGAGCTTCTTACTTTTTTAAATACAGCAAATTCAAGTCCAAAAAAGAATATAGCAGAAGTTTCAATATCACCACCAACACCTTCATCACTTATGGTTGAACATCCAACAGATACAACAGATTCTGTATCAGATTTATCAATTCATAGTGGTCGCTCCAGTCCCAGTTTTATGCATACTTCTGTAGATGTAACAGATAATCTTAATTATGATATTGTAAATGTAAACAATAATTTTTGTACGACCGAAGTAATAGATACATTAAATGATGAAATAATAGAAAATCAAATTTCTGGTATATTATTTTAAATAATATATATATTATAATATATTTTAAATATATATTTTAAATTTATGTTAATTTAAAAATTTAATCAAATAATTAATTTTCAAATTTATTTTAGGACATGATATTATTAAAAAAAAAACTGATACTATACAACAAGGATATAAATATGATGTGAAACAAGAAAATATGGAAATAAATAAATTAATGAATTCATCTCACAACAAATACATAAGAAAATATCTAAAAGAAGTAGAAAGAAATTTAGAAGAAAGAAATGAATTACTTGGAAAACAAGAAACAGACCATCAAAAAGAAATCACAGTCTTGAATGAAAAATTGCAATCTCTATACACAGAAAAAGTGCAATTATCTAAACAAGTAATAGAATTACAATTTGCTTTAGAAAGAAGTAGATCAGAATTAAATTCTGCTAGATCTGATTTAGAACAACATAAAGCTAGAGCCTTAAAGACATTACAAGAAAAAGAAAAATTGATAGCAGATTTAAGATGCAATGAGTCTACAGAAATGGATGATACAACTATTATAGAACTAAATCAATTAAGGTGAATATAAATTTAGAAAAAATAAATATTTAATTAATTTTATTTTAATATATATTATTAAATAATAGACAAGAACGCGATATACTTAGAGAAGAAAATCAACAAATTTCTGAACAATTAAGAATAGTACGTGAAGAATTAATGAATGCTGATGTAAAATTGGAAAAAATGAGACAAAAATCTACTGAGGCAAATGTACAAGCTCAAGAAATTCTTGCTACAGAAAGACGTAGAAGATTGGATGCAGAAGAAGATGCAAGATTACATTCAGATGTATATTAATATTTTATTTGTACGTTTTACATATGTTGTATGTAATGAGATTAATTAATAATAATCATTATTTTAGGAAATAAGATCATTAAAAGATGAATTAATTCGACAACGTAATAATTATACTACACAAATACAGAAAAGTGATTCTGAAATTGCTCGACTTAGAATGCAATTATCTGCAGCTTCAACACCAAATAGCGAAATAGAATCGAGATTGGCATCTCTTACACAAACATTAGTTTCAAAGCAACAAGCATTAGAAAGTTTAACAACAGAAAGAAATGCTTTAAGGCTACAATTAGAAAAAATAGAAGTATGTTAATTAAAAATAATTTATTTCCTAAATGGAATAAATAGTATCAAATATGAAAATGTTATTCTGTGAAATATTACAATATTAACGATTTTATATGTATAATAAAATATTTTTTTTATAGCATGAATTTAGGAATAGTCGTCGTAATGTTCCTTACAATAGTATAAACGATACAGATGATGCTAAAGCTCAAGTACCGACATTTCTAATAGAAACTCCATTTGATACTGGAGTTACTAGAAGAGTAAAAAGAGCTTATTCTTTATTAGATGCTATTAGTATTCGCACAGGAGTATTTTTAAGAAGATATCCTCTTGCAAGGATTTTGGTATTAATTTATATGGTAAGTATAATATATAGATTTA